CCTGAAACATTTTGAAGGTATTTTGATCAATTTATATTTTACGTAATTATTTTTTTACATATTTTTATTAGGTGCGCCTAGATGAGAAGAATGAGTGACTAAAATTTTAAGTGATTTTGATTTGCAAAAAAAAAAAAAAAGAGAATTCAAATACAAAATGAGGTTGTAACCGTCAGATCTGCCCATATTGAATCTGAGCCATTGGCTGATACTGTAGCCGTCAGCCCGTGGGCTAATATCCATTCTTTTAAGTGTAAGATTGTTTTCTCACTTTATCATTAGTGCATTTGTTATGATCTTCAGTACATAGTTGTAGCATTTCTATATCAGCAGATGAGGTTGTTTCACAACATTACTGACCTGGAGAACATTACATCTGCTGACCATTATCTGCTGTAGAAAATCTTACATAAATTTAAGACTAATCCAAATTATGGTTGATCCTTTAGGATATGACGAATGTCTTCTTTCCTGTTAGTATGGACGATTTCATTTAGTTTCTTTTGTCTTGTATTTTGGTTCTCTCTTTAGTATAGGAAGCATTTATGATTTACAAAGAGAAAAAAAAAAAACAGAGAAAAAGCTTTTGAAGTCATGATTTAAATCACACATTCACACTCATTAACTTCGTCACCAGTTTTTTATTCACTATGTCAAAACATATCCTTTGCAAGTTGTGAAAGGGGTATGTGCGCATACATGTTTTCTTTTGTGTTCATTTATTTCAATAAATAGCACCTTTGTTTGGTCATTGGTCAGGTTTTCATGACATCTTTCGAGTTTCTTTTTGTAATGGATAAATAATAGAATTTACCAATTGACCTTCCTTCCTATGGGAATGCACTTTCCTCGCTCATGACTTGCTACTTTTGGGTAATGATGTTACTGTTTGAGGGAATCCATTTCCTGATGACTATCTGATACACTGGAGTATAGGGGTGTTAGATCTTCACTTCCTGTGTATCTTTTTGGTCACCACTATCCACAATGCTTCTTTTATATATTTCAGGAAATGATTTCATTTAATGTTATACTAAGAATTGAACTTATATTGGTAGCAGAAAGAGGGGCTTATGCTTTTGGAGTCAAGTGCCTGGATGTATTCTCAATGTATATTATTTAGCATCACAAATTCAAGTGATGTGCACTACAAAATGAAGGCATATCGTTCACTACATAGTTAATCAGTTTGAAATGTAGTTGCCTTGAACTGTAGTTTCATTCTGATAGCATTTGCATTTAACAGGGTAACTGCATACCCTATTCGTAATGATGCCTTGAAGTATGGGGAACTTGACTATATAAATGGAGGTATGCAGCACCTGATCTGACACTTTTATGGCCTTCAATCATACCATCAAACAAAGAGCATGGGATTTCAAATTGCAATCTCTTAATTATTCCCTTGAACGTACTTCTAGTTATTTCTTTATATATAGTTAGATGTTGCCTCTCCACCAAGCTGATTGTAGTATCATCAATTTTAGCTGCGCTCATTAGGTACCAGATAGCAGGGAATTTTCTTGGATTACCTGCGATTACTGTTCCGGTAGGCATCTATCGATTGTATTATCAATTGGGTGGTTTGATCTATAAAGCTCTAACTCTTTTTTTTTGTCCCTTACATATGCTTTATATTATTCATGAAACAGATTGGATATGATAAGCAAGGAATGCCAATCGGCCTTCAATTTATTGGGAGGCCTTGGTCGGAAGCAACACTACTCCATCTTGCTTATGCAATGCAGGTACATATCCAAGTGAGAACGGTTTCTTCTTCAAGAAATTGTTTTTCCTGGTCATCATAATAGAGCAGAATATTATTTCACTATTTTAATCCACATATCACCCATCCATGTCTGTTCACTTACTAGATTCCTATATCTAGTAGTTGGTGTTTGCTTTTGAGAGTTATTTCACTATTAATCTATATATCACCTCTATTCTAGTAGCTTAACTATATTGATTAATTATAGTGTCTGTTATACTTTATACCACTGGGACTGTGGTCTATGATTTCTTCAATGCTTTTGCTTATATACCATGCTTCTACTTTTTCTCCCTGAAATTTGAATCAAAAGTTTTGAGCCCCTATGCCTTCCTCTTAGATACCATGCATGCTTTTGGCAACTATTTTTCTTCTATTTCCTCCACTAAATAACCTGTTCACATGAGTGTCTTCTAGGTGGTTAATTGATATTTTCCGAGTGGTGCATTTATCAATATACTTACTGGATTTACATTGACCCGAACAATGTATTTTCCATTAACGATAGAAATAAAGTGTCCTACAAGGTCCAGGAGGCTCACTGCACCCTGTAACGACATGGTGCTTCGTTATTTTATAATATTCAAAACAAATTAGTGACACCATTCATATATTCCATACACAAAATTCATACATGATCCAAGAGAACTTGATCGGGAATTCCGGACTTCCTTGTCATTTAGTGTCCTTCTAAAATGCTTTGGTTTAAACTCTGGAAACCTCGGAAATGAAACTTAAGATTACCATTCTCAGATATATATTGCTAGTCTGCTTCTTGTTATGTCCTCGATTTCGGGACCGCAGTGATATACCAGCAAAGCCCTGAAAGTTTTATGGAAGGAATATGTATGAAAAGAACCTAGAAAAACTATAGGATATGCATTCCAAAGCCCATAATGCCTTATCCTCATGGAGGTCCTGGTGTAAGATCATACATGTGGAGCAACTTCTACGTTCATAAAACCAACTATGCATTACAATGTGCATATAACATTATGAAATCCTTATCAAGATTCCATGTATATGATTAATGTGATAACCTTAAGTATGCAATTCAGATAAATTTCACCCCATATATACATTTCAATTATGTTATAGTGCATAACAAGCTAAAAAACATGCATTCTTTCATGAAATATATATTCTCTTGAAAAAAATTCACTATGCTGATATTTGTTGCAAAAATATGAGAACTTGTGTCATGTAAAATCAATTTCTCTAAGTGAATTAGTTTCGGAATTCCTTCCTAATATGTTATAAGCTACCAGTTGTGTAAAAGAACATGTCAATGATGCTCCGTGACTAGTATCTAATACACAATTAATAAACTTGTATATTCTCAAATTTGCCACTACTAAAGACTACTTTTGAGTAAACCTACCTATTTTTGAGTTAATTTATACTTAATATAAAACATAAAGATTAACTTTGGTATTGCAAAACACCTGTTCAAAACAAGTTGAGTTTCTTTTATTTGTCTTCATTTTTCTGTTTTGTCAAATTAGGGCAAATGGCCCATGTGTTTGTTTGTTTTTTTTGTGTGTGTGTGTGTGAGACAGAGAGAGATAGAGCAAGGTTTAAGTAAGAGAAAGAAGAGGGGGAGGTGGGGGGAGGGCAAATGGCCCATATGTTTTTTTTTGTGTGTGTGTTTTTTTCTTGTTTGGAAACAAAAGATGCGGGGTCACAGTCCTCATGACATTTGTTTGTTATATATAAATGTTCTCCTTAATGGTCTACCATAGGCAAACCCATGATCACATCACTGGCCATGCTCCTGCTTGTGTCACTCGGGGACAACTCTGGGTCCTAAGGAATTCATGTGCAATCTACCTTCTCTTGTTTTATATCTACCAGTCTCTTTTTCCTTTTTCCCTCTGTATTTTAATTTTATCTTTTTCCTTTTTCCTTCTCCTAGTCTCTCTTCCCATTTTCCTTGTCTATTTTATACCCTCTAGTCTCTTTTTCCTTTTTCTTAGTCTACTTTAAAAAGAAGAAACCCTGTAGACACCCATCTTTTAAAGCCCTATGCCAAACATCCAAGACCCTCCTTTCTTTAACCTCCCAAGTTCTTTCATGAGCCCTTCTTGTCATGGGCTCACGTACCCTAGGGAGCCAATTTGTCTACTTCCACAATGTCTAAGTGATAGTGTTGATAGGAGTCTTCCATCATCCTTTCATGGCTAAAATGAATAGTTCATCCTCCCAAGCTTAAGTTACTAAAAGAGATTTTCATCAAACCTGAAATCACCCAATTTTGATACCAAAGTAGGGAGATATGGCTTAAAGAAGAGACTGGTTCTAAATATGGCCAACAAATGACAACTGAGTGGCGTAACAAGCTGCTGGGGAAGAATTTTTCTGTCCAGTGCTTGTGCCCACTGGCCTTCCCCTTGAGCTCTACTTGTCCAACACTTGAAGCCTGCCTTTAGGCCTCAGCTTTGCCTTTTCTGGAAAACACTCATTACTACTTTAAACAATGGTCAGGTCCCTAACCTCGACTCACTTTGGATGAATTGCTAAAACAATGGTTATGCAAACAATGAAATGGTTAGGGCTGCCAGGGCCTAGTTCCCATAGGGTTGGGCTAGGCCCGGGCCTAGCCCCATGAGTCAAATAATTGAAACCTACAGAAAAAATAAGAGAAAAGCGCCAGGCCAGGCCAAACTAGAGTGGCCCTGGCACAGCCCTCGGGCCACATTCTTATGGCTGAGGCCCTAGTTTGGATGGATTGGGCTAGGCTATGCCACCTGGCCCATTGCCACATCTACGAATGCTCTTTATGCAGAAATTATGTGTGTGTGTGTCTGTGTGTCTCCACATGGCAGAGTTCTAAATAAAATTTGTACAATTCAGTGAAAGCAAAGGTAAAAGCCTTCAGGAATGCTTGCCATGAGCATGGAGACCACATTTAGAGATTGAGATAAAATAATGACTTGGATGGTTTGGTGATGAGAGAAGAAATAATATTTGACCGGGAACTAAAAGTAGATATCAGAATTTTGTTTAGCTTTTATAGTGGAACTACCAAGAAATTGCTTGAAATACGAAAAACGAAACCATAAACTCACCAAAAGGAAACTATAAACTCACCCGACTGTTATGATGCACAGATATTATAATTCAAGATTTAAATATTTAGATCTTATTGGTACGAAGTACGACGCTCACTACAAGTTGAATCCAGATTGCATGAAGAATTTTGTGCATTTGAACTTTCCTTGCGATGCTGAGCTAAATATCTCTTAAAAATCTCCCAAATCATCATTCATGTGCATTTTCAACTTTTTCAAATTCTAGGAAAGTTTTCCTAAAAATCCTCTTTTATTTTTGAAATTTAAAAATAGTCCCTTATATTTCATGTTTTACACTCAAGGCCCATTTTCTGAGGGCATAAATGTATCTTAATTTTATCCTTTATCTAAACATTGGATTACGTTCAAATTTGGTATGTCCATACTTCTCAAATAATGTAGTAATGAGTTCTAAAGAGTCAACGGATTCATGGTTAAATCCCCTCATGATCCAATTTATTTTAGTACAAGTTCAACCGATGGGGATCAAATGGTATAGTTCATTTGTTGGTAGCTTGGAGGATTACAACCATGACTATTGCTTTCCAAATGGCTATTTTTGCATTGATTGCTACTTCATCAATCTTATTGATTAGTGTACCCAACTATAAAAAATGTTTTAGAATTAATTTAAAATAAATAAAGTTATTAAAATATCTCTGAATATTGTAGGGGTATTTTGGTTATTTATTATCTTTGAATCTTTTAAGTATTTTTTATAGGTTTGTGATGGTGAGAAGTACAAATATACCAAATTTGAGCCTAATCCAATACATAAAACAAGAAATGCAATTTAAATACACTTTATGCTCTAAAAAAGTGGGACGTGAGTGTGGAATATGAAATATATAAGATTATTTCTGAATTTTAAATATAAACCAGGACCTTTTTATAACTTCCCCAAATTCTATTATTTTAAGATGTTTGATTATATTTGAGATTAAGGCTTTTAGATGTCAAATCTTCAAATTCAATTACATTCCATAACTGATTCCCTTTGATTATTAAGAAAATTTTTCTTTATGCCACATTGTTGTTTTCACCTAAATGATGTTGTATTGGTTCCAGGGTCTCTATAGTGGAAGCTATCAGAAACCAAGAGTGTTCTACAATCTCCTTTCAAAGTGAACCACAGGCAATTTTGGACTTTAATGATATATTGGGTAATTTATTTTCATGTTTGTTAGTGGCTTTCGCATGAATTGCACATCATCTAAAAGATATTTCCAAAGAAACTTGTGAAGATACTAAATGATTTAAATCATATCAAGGATCTGGTTGGACCAATTTTCATATTTTTTAATTTGAACCAGAGAGGTGTCTGGAATCGCATTATTTGTTAAGTTGGAGATGTTGGAATTGTCATGGTTGTTAAGAGCTCCCTTTGGATTTTTTTTTTTTTCTAAAGTGGAGAGTAGATTAGAATGGTGTGGAGTTCACATGTGGACAAGTAGTCACAATGTTTATTACTTGATGGGTTCCAACAAGGACATATTTCCAACATAGTCGCAAAAAGTCAATGAGCGGTGAGTCTCTAAATCAAGGTTGCTGGGTTTTAACACATGGGAGATTTGCATGCATTAGGATTTGAATGCATGGGAAGTTGGTTTACCAAAGTAGTTTAAGAATTTTCCTTGTCTTAGAGACTAATTTCGATCATTATGTGGGGAGTTCTATAAGTGCCATTTGCTGTATTTCGTAGTATTGATTAATATTATTTTTTGGGGGGGGGGAGGGGTAATTCAGTGGGGAAGACATGCCCCTACCCGCTTTTTTCAATAGATTTGGGAGTTACATTCTGAAGGCATTGTGAGCTGTTAAAAAAAATAAATGACCAAAATGCCCCTAAAAAAAAAAATCTATGATAAAAAATTACCACAATACCCTTGAAAGTTGTAGGGGTATTTTGGTCATTTATTTTTAATTAAAGTATTTTTTTATTTTTACATAAAATTTTTTTTTATTTTTTCCAGGTTCGTTCTAATTTTTTGATGGGCCGCCCAAAATTTCATCAAAAAATGTTTTATAGAAAAAAAAAAAGAGAAATAAAACAGTTTTTAGCATGACATTGTGGTGTGAACAATTGCAGCCGTTCGATTACAGATCGAACGGCTAAGAAATGAGACCGCATATAACTTATATGTTGTTAGGGTCACTTGAAAACATTTCCGTTAGATATATAACCTCTTGATGAGCATAGATTAACCTCAATAATTAAAATTTTCCTAATTGTACCCTCTATGCACTAGAAAAAAATAATGTTTCGAAATTGAATAGAGATCGTTTAATTTTTAAATGGTGAGATCTAAGTGTTAGAAAACTCAAATTACAATTTGTTCTGTTTTTTGAAAATAATCATCTAGTAATTCTTAAGTGGTTCCCAAAGTTTAAGATTGAAAAAAAATCCTCCCAAATAAGTCATCTTATCAAGGGAATAGAAGTAAACCATGCTCTCGAGGGAGCGTAATATGTGTACTCTCACTTAATTGTTAGTTCAGAAATTCAAGTCCCAAACATATTTTTGTAAACGGGCAATTTTGGTGAATGAAGTCCTGAACTTCAATTTTTTTTATTTTCTTGTCAGTAAGCAGTTCAGACTTGGAGGTTTGAACCCACAACAAAGCCAAAATGCAGGTTCCCAACTTGGAGATTTGGGCCAAGGACATTTTGGGGGAATATAAAATGAGAAAAAAATAATAAGAAGAAGAAGAGAGAAAAAAAGAGCATGCCCATAAATTTGGACAATGCGAGGATATTTTTTAATAGGAAAAAGTTTATATCCTCAAAAATCCATCGGAAAATGTAGTTTTAGTGTTGAAAAACCCTTTGATTGATCAGCTCGATATCAATATGTATGACTATGAAAAATAAAAAGATTTTAAGTCTCAGAAATAGTGCATTTTACAACATATTATCTACACCATTCATTTTCAAGATTTTCATATGTTTATAGATCTATTTGATTTTAACTATTTTTGAAATTTAAAATTTTTTAATTAGATATAAAAATAGATTTTGAGATAATCTTAAGAATATTTTACATCAAAATTATATATCATGATAAAATTTAAATGTGCACCTTACCTCTACAGCTACGGATGCATTCGTATGCCAACTGCACCCTTAAAATATTACCCGTTCTATTCCAATAATACATGATTTATCAACATTGCTTCGGTTGTGCAATTCACTGCGAGTTTTGAGTAATGCTTGCCCACATTTATGATTATAACGGAGCACTTAATCAAGTGGTAAATTATTTGTTAAAAAATGAGAATATTTATATAAGGTGTCAACCTTAAATGATAGAAATAAAATATACATTAAGAACTCATTGGAAAATGTATTTTTAATGCTAGAAACCTTTCATTTGATCATCTCGATCTCGAAATGTATAGATATATAAAAAACAAATTTCAAGTCCAAAAAAATAGTGCAACCGGTAACACATTATCTGGACGGTTT